CCCCGCCCACTATGAAGCATCGTTGCAGTAGTAATAAGTACTTGTTATACTAGTTGATGGTAGCAGTAATGGTACTTTATGCCTTGGTCCTCTGCTTTGTCTGTACAGCCAGTCTGCAGTAATAGTACATGTAGCAGTAGTACTTGTAGTATTAGTAGTACTTGGTCCCGGCCCTCTGCTTCGTCCCCACAGCACACTTATTTATGTTTTTATAATGTGACTTTTATTTTGAAGGTTTTACTTTGCACTTTGAGCTCATGCCTTTTATGGTAACGGGAAGTGGGCGTGTCCTTATTTGGACGACAGGAAGTGGAGCAGTGACTTTGGGCCTTAAGCGACTTCAGCGACGCACGAGAACCAGATTTAAAAACAATTTTCCCAAAGTTTGTTTCCATTTTATCAGAAACAAGATTTTTGTTGAGTCTGGGGTTGGTTTGTAAGGGTTAGGGTTACGTGTAGGGTCAAGGGTCATGGTGTAGGGTTAGGGTGTAGGGTTACGGTGTAGGGCGTAGGGTTTGGTGTCTGTGTGGCTGAAGTCGCTCCTCGCTGCTCTTTCTCTGATCCTGAAAACTGTTGTAAATATGTTTTAAAAATGTTTAAAATGTACAGTGTCATCAATTTGAAACAGGAAACGGGTGACGCAGGTTTCTCCAACCAAAGCTCCCAACCCCCCCCCCGATTCCCCCCACCCCCCGATTCCCCCCACACAAACACACAGTTCTGTGACCACACCCGGACAGAGGGGGTGGGGCTTAGTGTGTATTAGGCCAATGGGACAGAGGGGGCGGGGTTCTGCTGTTGGAGACACCTGATGTCTTTCTGGAACTGACTGAGCTCGCCTCTCCACAGAGCCGACTGTCACTGCTCGCCTCTCCACAGAGTCTACTCGGTCTTGGACTTTGAGTGTGAATATTTCTGCTGTAAAAAAGAACATCTTAAATATTAAACAAGTGCATGAAACTGTGTCATGTGATGTGTCCACCAGGGGGCGGCGCTCAGAGGCTCATTATGATCATAAAACTGTTCCAAAGGGTTGGATCAGGGTTAGCAAATTATGGGAGGTTCCACTTGGGTCAAAAGTGTGACCTTTGTTGTGGGTTGGAGCTAAAGGCTAATGTGGCTAACATGAGTTTCATGGAGAGATGCTTCGTACCTCCTAGAGCGAGTGTGACATCACTGCAGGGTTACGGTCGGTACTGAGGTGATGCTGAACATTAGTTGGGCTTCACTGAACCATGGGTCAAATGCAGAAACAAAAGTTCACTAGAAAGTATATAATGGCTGAAGTCATTGTGATTGGCTGCATACCATGAACAAAAACGGTTCTACAAAACAGAAAAGATCAGAAAGATAAATCATGACAGATCGGGAAGCGTATGTGTCGACGGTACTGCAAATACTACAATACAGAAGTATCAATTCTTTTCATTGAAATCCATGGTAATGTTTTAAGTACTGAAATACTGCAAAAAAACCTTAACACTGGAGATTACAACATAAAATATAACAAAAACATAAGATAAAAAAAACATTTCAAATGTATGATGTTAGAAATGATAGGGAAAAGTATTTATTACAAAAGTAAAAGCACTAAAACTGCTCTGAACTCTGGCAGAAGGTGGAATAAATTCTATAAAAACAGATCTGATTACGTTTATGCAGTCACTCACCGTGTGGCTGAACTATGCGCCGATTGGTTCTACACCCGGACGTGCTTTGGCGCGTGTAGTTTTGTGAATCTGGCAACCCCGTGTTTGCAGCTCTGCACCGCGCAGCTCTTCGTGGTGATTATCACTGATTTTAAACTCTGTCTCTGAGTGTGTGTTTGTGTGTGTGTCTCTGTGTGTGTGTGTTTGTGTCTCTGAGTGTATGTCTGTGCGTGTATGTCTGTGTGTGTGTGTGTCTCTCTGTGTGTTTGTGTCTCTGAGTGTGTGTTTGTGTGTGTGTGTGTCTCTCTGTGTGTGTGTGTTTGTGTCTCTGAGTGTATGTCTGTGCGTGTATGTCTGTGTGTGTGTGTGTGTCTCTCTGTGTGTTTGTGTCTCTGAGTGTGTGTTTGTGTGTGTGTGTGTCTCTGTGTGTGTGTGTGTTTGTGTCTCTGAGTGTATGTCTGTGTGTGTGTGTGTCTGTGTGTTTGTGTCTCTGAGTGTGTGTCTCTCTGTGTGTGTGTGTGTCTCTGTGTGTTTGTGTCTCTGAGTGTGTGTCTCTCTGTGTGTGTGTGTGTGTGTGTGTCTCTGTGTGTTTGTGTCTCTGAGTGTATGTCTGTGTGTGTGTCTCTCTCTGTGTGTGTGTTTGTGTCTCTGTTTATGTCTGAGTGTGTGTGTTGAATAATTGGACATTAAATAGACAGGAGTAAACTAAGGACTCCCCTCAGACATTAAAGAAATCAAGTCCTCATTGAAACATGAAGCTCAAAGCTTTACTCTTCTTCACACAGACACACACACACACACACTGACACAGACAGACACACACACACACACACACACACTGACACAGACAGACACACACACACACACACACACACTGACACAGACAGACACACACACACACACACACACACTGACACAGACAGACACACACACACACACACACACACACAGACAGACACACACACACACACACACTGACACAGACACACACACACACACACACACACTCTGACACACACTGCCACACAGACACACATAAACACGCACACACAGACACACACTGCCACACACATAGACACACTCTGACACACACAGACACACACTGACACACACACAGATACACACTCTCTGACACACAGATACACACTGTCTGACACACATAGAC